ACATCAGGTCATACATCCTATTCGGAATGGGCGCACTGTTCTACACATGGACTTACCAACTCTGGGGCACGGCACGGCAACACACTGTGCAATACGCAACCTGGCACGACATGGCACGGCACGGCACGGCTCAACCCGACAATGTACGACACGGCACGCGATTGGGCACGGCACGGCACGGCACGACACGGCACCAACGCTTCGTCACGGCACCGCGCGGCACGGCCAAATGCTTGTTTCGGTTACAACGGCAACGATGATGAACGTTGCATAGACGAAAACGGCAACACAAATGCCCAGGGCGGCGTCCGCTACTCCCACGGCCTGTGCGAAAACCAATGGAAGTGCGTTACACAAATTTAAAAAAAAAGATGCCGCATCGTTTGCGAACCAGCCGAGCGATTTTTGATACCTTTTTCCAACGTCACACAAAACCACCACAAACACTTTTTGGACACTTTTTGGACACTTTAGGGCGATGATACAAGGGAACACAGTCTAGCGGTAGGGCCTGTTATGGTCTTAGAACATTGTTTGGTGGGGCTATAGGCGAGCCAGGACGCTTCGCCTCTGTCTGACAGGGGGGGCCCAGAGGCGCTGGAGATGTATGGATGTAAGTCGGGCCTGTCCCTCTGCAGGAGGAATAGCAGAAGTAGTCCAGAGGCTGCGCCTCGCCGAGAGCGCTCCCTCGCGCCCCCGCCGTCGCCCCCAGCGGCCCGCCGGCAGAAGAATGTGTGGACGGACGCCCTCCGACGAACTCTGCCCATCCCTGGCGCGCAAGGGCGCGCCAGAGGTGGCGCCGGAGGAGCCGCCGGGGGGCCCCCAGAGGCGCTGGAGAGGCGCCGCTGCTCTGTATGCCTCGAGCAACGAAGGGCGGCGATGTACAAATGTGAGTCGGGCCTGTCCCTCTACGGGAAGAAGATTCAAAAGTAGTCCAAGAAAGGGTTGGGGACGATTTGTCGAACAATGTTTGACTGTTCGGGGAAAGGTCGCATAGAAGGAAGCGATCTCTGCCACCCAGACGTCAACGAGCCATTGGCCACCTCTGCAGGGCGTTCCTCTTCAGCGATGCTTTTCCCGACCTAGGTTCTGCATAGAAGGGTTCTTACTCGTAAACTTAGGAAGGGCCGGGCAGTGGAACGCGCCCCGGGCGGTTCCCCCGGCATCCGCCCCGCGGTTCCCCCAGTGACGCTCCCTTAGCGTAGCGTTGCTTATCTCATCTTAGCTTAGCCTAGCTTGACTTAGTTTAGCTTAGCTTCATCTTAGCTTCGCGTAGCTGTAGCTGTAGTTTAGCTTAGCATATCATAGCATAGCCCAGCACAGCATAGCACAGCGCAGCACAACATAGCATAGCATAGCATAGCATAGCATGGCGCAGCATAGCACAGCATACCACAGCAATGCGCAACATATCATAGCATAACATACCATAGCCTAGCATAACATAACGCAGCCTATCGTAGCATAGCATAGCGCAGCATCGCGCAGCATAGCATAGCATAGTGCAGCATTGCATAGCGTAGCATAGCATAGCAACAAAGCAAAGGCAAATCAACAGCAGCAACAGCAAAGCAAAGCACAAGCAACGCAAAGCAAAGCAAAGCAAAGCAAAAGCGAAAGCAAAGCAAAGCAAAGGAAAGGCAAAGCAAAAGCAATGTGCGACAGATGCCGAGCTAGCCTCGATGGCCGGACCGGAGCCCCCGCAAGCAGTGCCTTCCGTAGCCATTTCGGCTCAAGCCTGGAGGCCCTGCCACACAGCCGCTCAGGCTCGCAGCTCGCAGCCTCCAAAACCGCCCCAGGACGAACCGAAAAATCTAGCTTTTCGCCCCAAAACGCTCCCAGGAGGCCCCAAGAGCTCCCCAAGAAGCCCCAAGAGGCTCCCAAGAGTCGTCCCAAGAGGCCACCAGGAGACCAAAATCATTGGTTCCCTATAGGAAACATACATTTTCGCCATACACGGTTTTTCGGTTTTCACAGCGTTGACGACGATCCAAGACGCCCCCAAGACCGCTCCCAAGAGGCCCCAAAAACGTCCCCAAAACGTCCCAAGACGGCCCAAGAGGCGCCCAAGATGGCCAAGTCGTGCGATAGTAGACCGGATACGGAGCATTCTCAAGCACACCCGGTGAGCGAATGCGAAAACATGCGTGTGTGTGTGTATGTGTGTGTGTGCGTGTCTGTGCGCAGGCAACGCAAAAACAACATCGAGCAAAAGCAACAACAAAATCAAAGCAAAAGCAACAGCAACAGCAAAAGCAAAGGCAAGGCAATTCAAAGCAAAAACAAACCAATGCGAAAGTGTAGATGTAGATGTAGATGTAGATGTAGGTGTAGGTGTAGATGTAGATGTAGATGTAGATGTAGATGTAGATGTAGATGTAGATGTAGATGTAGATGTAGATGTAGATGTAGATGTAGATGTAGATGTAGATGTAAATGTAGATGTATATGTATATGTAGGTGTAGATGTAGATGTGAGTCTCGCTGTTGATGTTGATGTAGAAGTAGATGCAGGTGTAGATGTTAATGTAGCTGTCGGTGTAGATGTAGATGTTGCTTTCCTAGGGGCTCCAACTTCTAGGTAGGGTAGCGCTGGGATAATTTGTTGCAGTTGCTGTGTCTCCGATTATCTCTCCATCTCTATACCTCCATCTGTATCTCTCTGTCCCGCATCCAAGGACAGAATCGGACCGGGCGAAAGGGGGGGATAGCAAAGGGGGGGTTTGAGAATCAACTCACGTAGCTGATTTTCCCGGCGCCTCCCAGCGCCGGGAGGCGCCCATGTATCGCGGAATGGGCCCCGCGGCAGGGCCGAAACCAGCTGCATGCAGCAGATTTCGTACCCCCCCCTTTCCCTATCACCCCCTTTCGTTCGGCCCGACAGAAGCCAGGAGCATCGCCCAGGTCACCAAGCGCCGCGCCTCGCGCCTCGCGAAGCGCGGTGCCCGATCACCTCCGCGCCCCCGCGCCCTCGCACCGTCCCCCTCGGAAAGGGGCAGCCGCTCTGGCCTGGACCGCGACGCGCGAGGGGCGAGACGACCCTCTGCGCGCCCCCGCGGGTGACGACGGGGCCCAGGGACACACAAAGATATAAGTACACACGCATCCAATGATTCCCCATGTCTTCTCAGGGAAGAGGTCCAGACACGAAAACAAAGAGTCACGACGTCGGAGTTGTGGGGAGGACGCGGGTACAGTTAAGTCGGGCGTGTCCCTCTACAGGAGGAATCTTCAAAAACAGTCAGAAATTAGTCTGGTGACTTTTTTTGTGAACATTCGGGCAATGTTTTCTGAATCTCGTGAGGCTCAGCAGGGCTCCCCAGAGGCCGCGCATGGCAAACAAAAGTAAAAACAGGCCATAACTCGGGTCCCTGGCAGCCGTTCGGGACGATCAGGGCACCCTCGGAACGCCATCGGCGAGGGGCAGCTGCTGGAAAACATCCAGAGGCTGGAAAACCGCCGGGAACCAACGGAGTCGCCCGCGAACACCTTGAACCTTCGCAACGGGAGGGGAGGCGGGGGGAGGGGGGCGAGGAGGGGGAAACCCTCCCCCCGACCGGCAACAATAGAGGCCTCCTGGATGGGGCTCGGGAACATAGATCTGCGGTGGACGGACCTCCCTTCAATAGACCTCCCCTTCGTGAAAACGGCCTGGGACCGAAACCGACGGACCTGGACCCGCGACGCCCTCTCGCGAACCGAAAACGGCCAATTCCTTAATCGACGTGTCAGGGTAGGAGGTCTGTCCACCCCCGAATAGATGGGGTCGGAGGACTGCACCGCATCGCCGACGTATCGCCGACGCATCGCCGATGCATCGGCGACGTCGGCGCGGAGAAAATCGGGCTACACATCGAACCGAGCCGCCTGTGCATCGGCGATGCGGCGCCATCCTCCGGCCCCACCTGCTCGGACCCCCTGGGAGGCCTAAAGCTAAAGTCGGCGGCGCGCCCGGGGAAGAAGGAGGCAGCAGCAGGCCTTCTCAGAAGGCGGCGGGGCCTCTCAGACACCCTCCAGCCTTCTGAGAAGCTTTCTGCGTCTTCGGGGAGGGCTTCGAACACTTCTCAGAAAGTCGAAGCCTTCCGAGCCTTCCGAGAAGGCCCACCCCCTCTGCTGGTGACTCTCGGGCAATAGCTCGGGTCCCCAGCGGCCGCTCGGGACGGTTCTGGCACCAACGGAGCGCCCTCGGCCAAGCGTAGCTGCTGGCGAGGATCCCTGAGGCCGGACAACCGCCGGGAGCCGACGAGAACTCTGGAACACCTCGAACGGTCCCGCCTGGGCTTAGGTCGGGCATCTGCCCCAACACGCGGATTTTTGATGACTCATCAAATAACAAAACATGTTTCAAGCATCATCAAAAATATTCAAAAAATGTTCCTGTATTATTTTGTACTATCTTTGAATATCCCTCCTGTAATTCGGGGGACAGGTTGCCTCATCTTCTGCTTATCTTGGCCACTATCCCTCCCCTCTTTGAGTACTCCTCGACTCTCCTGCTCATTTTTGCCTGGCTCTGACTTGAGCGTGGGCGCGCCGCCGCTCCCCCCCCCCATCCGGGGCGCGCCAACCCTGACCCGCCCCGCGTTTTTCGGGCCGGGCGACTATCCCCCCCTTTCGCCCGGCCCGAATCCCCCCCTTTGCTAGCAAATCTCAAACACCCCCTTTGCTAGCAAAGGGGGGGTTTGAGAACCACCTCACGCAGCTGCTTTTCCCGGCGCCTCCCGGCGCCGGGAGGCGCCCCATGCATCGAGGACTGGGCCCGGCGGCGGGGCCGAAACCGGCTGCATGCGGCAGATTTCGCAACCCCCCTTTCCCAAATTCTCCCCCTCGCCATCGCTCGGACGTCCATTTCCTGTGTTTTTTTGTATTTCGTGCGTGGCTTTTTCGCCAAATGATCAAGGATGCTCCTCGATGGTGCTCGCAGAAGGAAACATGCACACGTCCGAGCGATGCCAAGCCCCCCCTTCGTTCGGCCCGCGTTTTGGGTGCCCCGCGGCAGCCCGCCGAGCCCGCCGAGCTCGCCCAGGCCACCGCCCAGGCCTCCGCCTCGCTCGCGGCCCGGGGAGGCGCGCGCGCGGGCCGCGGGATGCTCTCCGCGGAGCCCCGTGAAAACCCCGCGCCGCCTCGGGCGCGGACCGGAGCCGAGGGGCCCAGGGACACGCAAACAAATACACACACAAACCCCAGGATGCCCCATAGTTTCCCATGTATTTTTTGGGGGTTCGTTTCGCCTCCCCCCACTGCCCATATCTTCTCATGCCTTCCACGGCGTCGACGATTCACTGTGTCTGTGTCTGTGTGTCTGTGTCTGTGTCTGTGTCTGTGTCTGTCTGTCTGTGTTTGTTTGTTTCTTTGTTTGTTTGTGTGTGTGCGCGTGTGCGTGTGCGTGTGCGTGTGTGCATGTGTGTGTTGTTCCCCCTCCTGAACCAGGGGAGCCCAGAGCAGAATCGATGTGCCGGGTCGGCGATCGCAGGGCCGCCGAGGGGCGAGGAGAGAACTGCCCCAACACCTCGAACCTCGAGGCCTCGAAGCGTGCCCCCCGGAGCCCGTCCCCTCCCCTCCCCTAACTAACGCTGCATCCGAGGGCCCCCCCGCGGGCCACCCCCTGGGGAGGAGGAGGAGGAGGAGGAGGAGGAGGAGGAGGAGGAGGAGGAGTTGGGGGAGGAGGAGGAGGATAGACGAGCCCAGAGTCGACCCGAAGAAATCGAATCGACAATGGAAGAGAATCGGAACCGCGGAAATCGGCGGCCGAGTCGGGAGCAGTCGACTCGTCGGAAATCGGCAGGCTAGCAGGCCTGCGAGAAGAGATCGGAGTCCACATTTGAGTCCGAAGCCGAACCGAATCGGAATCGGAGCCCCTCGAAATCGAATCGACTCGGAGGAATCGAAACAAGCCCTGGTAGAGGTGGGATCTGCTGCTGTGCGACGAGAGAACCCAAACATCCGGCGTCTCGATCGAGACCGACGGGATTCATGGTTGTCGGTCTCTCGGGGCCTTCCCCGGGCCTCGGGACCGTCAAACAAGAACTCAGGACAAAACACCAGTCCAGGGAAGAAACGAAAGGTCGGGGGCCCGTATCTCGGAAAAGTCGAGACGCCGGGTGTCTCGGGACGTGTCCACGCAGGCATCGTGCTGCCATGAGGGACGCCGAGTGCGGAGCGAAGGGGCTTCCCTGGCCACGGCGAGCCTCGGCCACGAGGAGGCTCCCTGGCACGAAGCCAAGGGACGCTCGAAGAGCAGAGCCACTCGGGAACCCAACGCAGTCCAATTTCAGCGTCTCGGCTGTGACCACCTCCTCGCCGACCAGCCATAACTGTGGGAGCTGTGGTCCTTACCCCTGGGGAGCTGTGGTCCTTACCCCCTTACCCCTGGAGCTTTGGGCCATCGCCTCGACGATCTCTCGAGAGGGGTGTCGAAATCGATGGGTCCCCCAGGGGGGTCAGGACGACAGCTCCCCCAGTTGTGGCTGGCCTGCCTCGGGGATCGATCTTCAGGGACCTCGGCAGGCGGTGAACATGGACACATTGGCCCTCCCGCCAGGGCCCGAGCAATCCAAATCCCTTCGCCTGCCTGTCCCCGGACATCGGTCTCCCAGGCGGTGGTTGCGGAGAAATGCCCGCCTCGCAGAGGTCGGCTTGGGGGCCTCGCGGCGGTGGCGGACGGGCAAAACAATCAGGAACTGCATGACCGCAAACCTTCGGAGGTCCGCGGGGAGTTCTTGGATCAGCACTGGGCCCTCGTCCCTGGGGTTCAGCGGCGATGCAAGAAATCTGCGCGGACCTCCGCACGTGTGGGGTTCATGCCATTTTCGGCCGTTAAAATGGAGTGATAAAGGCGCGTCGAAAACCTGTGGGCTGGTCCAGCACCGCGACTAGTCGGGAGGGGAGTTTTAGAACAAGTTGTCAGACGCCCCAAGAAGACCCTAAACCTGAGAAAAGCTGCTGCCCTGGGGCGCCCAGGCACTCCTGGCCAACGCGAAGATCACAAACATGTGGCCCTGGGAAACCTGGACACTCCTGACCACCGCAACAATCGCAAAAACGCATAGAGCGAGAAAGCCACGAGCAGAGTAACGTTACACATTCGAGAGAAAGCACACATGAACGCGGAAGTCACACCCTGCGAGTGGAATCATAAGGCACTTCAGCTTCGCCCGTTAGTGCAGTGACCACTGTGCATGGAACCCAGCACAGAATAGACAACCTCGAGCGTGCACTTCAACGATCTTCTCGTCCGCTGCGCGGGGAGCCCCGCAGGAGGCGTGAGTCACATCACAATGAAAACGCATGTCTGTATACGAATATATACATATGCATGCATCTGCGCTCCGCTTACTACAGATGCGGCCAATACCTTGATCACACGGATACAACGGACCGCCTTGTACCACAAAACGCTTGACGTCACAACCGGATCAGTCAAGCTGTGCCTCAATCCTGAACCTTCCTCGTCCTTCCCCAGCCTCCGCTTGGATGCCCGGTACTGAAACGAGAACTTGGGCACGATGTCCGACAGCGAATGTTGTCCAAACCGGCATTGGCCGCTGATGGGCGGGCGACTTTCCGTGAACAGATGGACAACGTCCACGGCGACATCGACAGCGAGCCCCTGCTCCTGATGGGCCGAACCCATGCGTAGGCATGCGACTTGGCTGTAGCACCTTACCCACATCTTTTTTTGTGCCCGGACAGAACACCTGGGCGACACAACCCGAAAGGAGGTGCCCAAAGTGCCGGCATGAATTCACATGCAGTCGGACCTCACAACATGAACGGCGGCACAGACCCGCCCCAGGCGTAACATCTGTGCCGCCGTTGCGAAGTGCCTCGAGATGCCACCCCGAAACACGGCCACCGGCACCACTTGGCCGCCGGCCTCAAGCAGCGGAGGCCCCGCCGCCCAAGAACTTAAGCTCCCGCGCCCCCCACGTCGGGGGACCCATTCGAGTAACGACCATCCCGCCGATACTATAACACCAACAGCTGCCGATCTTCGACTGTACCGCTCCTCACTCGGGACACCCTCCTGACGGGCGGCACGGGGGGCCACAGACTTTCCAACAGGGAAGAGGAGGATAAGGAGGAGGAAGAGGAGGAGGAGGAGGAGGAAGAGAGGGAGGAGGAGGGCGGTGGAGGAGGAGGAGGAGGAGGAGGAGCACCAGGCCACCCCGCAGCGAGGCGCAGCATCGAGAAGAGCCCTACCTCTCAGCCTGCTGCAGAAGAGCCATCTCCACAGAAGGAGCGTCCTCGCTGAGCGAGTGGAACCATGCGAGGACCCCGGATAACTCAAGAAGGACAGCCATGAACTGATAACAACCTCCTCTCTTGCGCGCGGGGCGCGGGGGGCGGCGCCAGAGGCGTCGCCAGGGGGTTCAACGCCGATCCACGAAAAATCTGCGCGGACCTCCGCAAGTTCATGTTTCTGGTAATTGTCTTCTTTCAAATGCAGATACGGCCGCTCCACAGGAGAGGTCGCCGACCGAACGCTTTTCGACCCTGCAGTGCAAGCTAGCCATACGGTCGATGGACACGCGGTCCCCAGACCAGGCCGACAGAGCACGCAAGCGCATCTCTTTCCTCGAGGTTCGCGCGAGGCGGGGACAGATTCATAGCCACCGCCTTGGAGGTCGCTCTTCGATGGCCTCGGGAGGCGGTGGACATAGTTTTAGGTCGGGCCTGTCTCCCTACAGGTGGATTTTGAACGAACAAGTAAACATACCCCAAACATGCACGAAAACATTCAAAAATGGCGGAAAACCGCCCCCCGACTATATTTTTTGCCATTGTTTAATACTCCTCCTGTAGAGGGACAGGCCCGACTGAAATAGAGTTCCCCTCCCCCAGGGCCCATGCCCATTTCCACCGCCGCGTGCCGAGGTGCTCGAAGATCGATCCCCCCCAGGCGGCGGAGGAGGAGAACTAGGATTAGGTCGGGCATGTCCCCCTACAGGCGGAATTTTGGCGAAAGAATTAAAGCATCCAAAACTGCACCAGAATACTCAAACATTGTCAGAAACATCGTTCCCAGGCTACTGTTTGAATCTGTTTGAATATTCCTCCTGTAGAGGGTCGTGCCCAACTTAAGACGAGGATGATGTCATGGCATCGCATGCTGTTCGGATGGGTCGTGAGCGCCAACAACTCCCACCTCCAAAGGCCCCCGGGATATCAATACCAATAGCGACACGACACCAACGCGCATCTGTCCTCAGGGTTCGAAGGAGATGGATATGAAGAGGAGGAGGAGAAGGAGAAGGAGGAGGAGGAGGAGGGGGCCACGGCTTCCCATGACACTCGGCTGGAGCGTGGAGACCCAGAAACAAACGTCGAAACGCGCAAAAACACATGCATCCTCGACATTCCAAGATGAGGGGGAGGAGCGAAAAGAACAGGACCAGGAACGAGAAACCTCGGCATCACCACCACCAGCGCGAGGAGCCAGAGGCAGGGTCTTCCTGGTGGTCTGCCGTTTCCCGTCTCCGCTCGCTCGAGACATCCCTCATCCCCAGCTCGGGGAGGGATAGTGGCCATCGCTCGGACGTCCATTCCCTGTGTTCTTTTCGGTTCCGTGCACGGTTTTTTTCGCCAGATGATCAGGGATGCTCCTCGATGGCCCCCGCCGAAAGAAAAATGCACACGTCCGAGCGATGCCAAAGATAGCTTGAGGACTCTCTCACACCGGGTCCGGGCAGCTGGGTCGGAGTGTCGGGCCGCATCGCCGATGCATCGGCGAGATCGGCTCGAAGCAAATCCCTCGTCCCCAGCTCGGGGAGGGGGATCGTTTGATGCCTCTCACACCGGGTCCGGGCAGCTGGGGTCGGAGTGTCGGGCCGCATCGCCGATGCGTCGGCGAGATCGGCTCGTAGCACGTCGGGCTCCAGATCGCGCCGCCTCGCCGATGCATCGGCGACGCGGCGCCATGCGTTGATCCCCTCTGCGCTGGCACCAGCCGGGAGTCCTGGAGTCGTGGACCCCCTCGCTGGACGTGGCAGGCCCGGCGAGGTCCTCCTTTGTCACGTGGGCCCGGCGAGATCTGGACCACTGCCCCAGGACCCGTGGTCTATCCCGAGCCGTTTCATGACGGTCCGGGGACCTGGCAGGCGCCGGCGGAGGCCAAACATTAGCAGAAAACCTCCCGTCGATGTTTTGTTTTTTCGCGACGCGAAGACGATCGGGCCAAAACTCGGGCCTCTGGCGGCCGTTCGGGACGCTCCGATCACCCTCGGAACGCCCTCGGCAAGGCGCAGCTGCTGGAAAGCACCCAAATAGGCCGGGAGACCGCCGGGATCCAGCGCAGTCGCCCGAACGCCCCGAGCCTTCGCGGCGAGAGGGTGGTGGGCCACTTTGCCGACACCGATACCCTGGGTAGGATTGGGGAGAAGGGAGGATGGGGAGATCCTGCTCCTGCTCCTGCTCCTGCTCCTCCTGCTCCTCCAGCTCCAACTCCTTCTCCTCTTCCTCCTTCTCCTCCCCCTCCTCCTCCTCCTCCTCCTCCTCCTCCTCCTCCTCCTCCTCCTCCTGCCTATCAGGAGGGAGGGGAAAAACGGCCCATTCGAGGCAGGGCGGGGAGGAGGCCGTGATGATGATGATGATGATGATGATGATGATGATGATGAGGAGGAGGAGGAGGAGGAGGAGGAGGAGGTGGAGGAGGAGGAGGAGGAGGCGGAAGAGGAGTGGGCCTCCCATGGTGTTCGGCTGGATCGTGAGCGCGCACAGCTGCCCGCCCCCGCGGGCCGGCGCCGGCACGAACATCTGGGCGCGCGCGCGCACACCGATGGGCGCCCCCGTGCGTCCGTTTTCGCGATGTTTTCAATGTATTCGGTCTGTCGTCGTTCCGCCCTGGCTGCGCAACGAGACGGAACACGAAAACGGCCCACGACATCGTCAAAAAACCGTTGAGCTCGGCCCACGCGATCCGACGACGCGAAACAAACCGCGGCATCGTGAGAACGAGAAATCACGGGCGAGAGACCCGCCCCGAAAGTTCGCGCAGTCAAAAGATATAGTAAGGAGGGGCGGTAAGGACGCACAGGCCTTGGACGCCGCAACTGGTACTTTTTGGGCGGCGGACTGCCTACACCCTGAAGGGCTGTCCACTGAAAACCGCGAAGGGCGGGCCGCAGATGCAGGGACGCAAGGGTACCCTAAGGCCCTAAGGCCACCCGTGCATCCTCACGATGCCTTCTGACATTAATCTACCCCCACAAGGACCAAGTGGGTGTGCGCGGGTGCTGGTCGTGGATTTGATATCCAGCCCCTGGGCGCATTTTCTGTGTACTTGACGTGGCACCGTGGGGTGGAGTCTGACTGGGGTTGGGAGGGTGTGGTATACAACAAGAAGCTTGAGCAAGAGACGAGATGCATGTCGCAGACGCAACGACCACAATTCTTGACGATCCAGGGACCCTCGACACCTGGGCGACGAAAAGGAACTTTTACCAGAAGAAGAAGAAGAAGAATAAGAAGAAGCAACATCATAAACATAAACTTTCGGCGCTCTGCGCGGATTTCTCGGATTCGCGCTGGAACCCCCTCCCTGGCGCGCGGAGCGCGCAAAGGGCGGCGCCAGAGGCACCGCCGGGGGGGGCCAGGGTGCGGATCCAAGAAATCCGCGCGGAGCGCCAAAAGTTTATCTTTGTGTGGTTTTTGCTTCGTCGAGACCACAATTCTTGACGCTCCGAGGACCCTGGACACCTGGGCGACGAAGAGGATCGGGTTTTACGCGAGATGGTTCAGCGACTCGGCGCCTGGTTCGTGGAGCAGGGGGGGCCTGACAGCGAAGGGGTAGGCCGCGCCTCCCCGACGACGACGGTCGACGACGGCGGCGACGACGTTCGGCGACGGCCACGTTCGACGACGAACGACCAGCGACGAGCCACGACGACGATCGACGACGACGGCGACCGACGCTACCGACGACGACGACGACGAGCGACCACGACCGAACAGAGACCTTACGCGGTAGCTGACGCGGTAGTCGCCGGCGCGGTTCGCCAAGACTGAAGCGAGGGCGCTCACGCGCGACCTCTTATGCGAGCAGCATGCGCGCCAGTGCCGGTGAAGACGGTCCCCTGTTGTTACATCGTCGCTCGCCTGTCTTCTGGACAGCGTCCTCGCAGGATGGAAGACTGGAGCGCGTTTCTTTATTTTCCGCGATAATGGGCATTATAGGGGGGGAAGGGGGCCGGACGGGGGTGTAATGTAACGCCTCACCCCCGCCGTGCGCACGGCGGCAGTGCCCGGAGCGCACTGGGGGGGAGGGGCATTACGTTAAGGGGGGGGAGGGGGGACCGGGGACGATCATGCCCATTATGCCCCAAGCAATAAAGAAACACGCTCCTGGACAGCGTCCTCGCAGGATGGAAGACTGCGACCAATGGTGAATGAGGTGGAGGGAGTGGGAGCGAAGAAGGTCGGGTGACACAGCAGGGAGAGCGGAAACATAGAAACGAGAGGAACAGGCCGCATCGGCGATGCGGCGTGATCAGACCCGCTTCGGGGAGGGGTTTATCACAATTCCTTACCAAATTTTACCCCCTCCCCCGCCCGGCGGGCAGCCAACCCAGAACCATGACAACCCCATGAGGGCCCCCCCCACACACGACCCCTGTCAATAAACAATACAAAACGCACTCTGGCTCCACATTTGGAGCATGCGCGACCGCCCCGCGACCTTTTTGCTTTGGTATTTTAAAGGAACGGCTGGAATGCCAGCAGATCCTAGCTGCCTTCTGGGCGCAGGTGGTCGACCGACTAGTTTGACACATCATGGGCTGCTGCCTTGTCGCCTTACTGTTTCCGATGGGATTTCGAAACCTCCACATGGCTCCAAAATTGGCCAAGCGAGCTCAAAGCCGGGCCCAAGAGGCTTCCAAACTGGCCCCAATAACGCCCCAAAGTTGGCGCCAAGAGGGCGCCATGAGGCCCCCCCCACACCGTCCCTTTCACAAAAGCAATACAAAACGCATTCCGCCTCCACATTTGGAGCATGCGCGGCCGCCCCCGGAGCCGCGGAGCTTCCCTGTCGCAGTTGACCTACAATCAGCGCGGCGGGAGTGTGAATGCCCTGGCGTGCACTTTGCATTGCGTTTCGACGAGGATGGTTCGGTGCACACAGGTTCGTCGGTGTGTCAGGCCACGCGCCGCCTTCTCACACGATTGTTTCTCATGCGTAGAAAGGGGGGGGGGCGCGCGCGTTGGCCAGCAGCCACACGCGTGCGCCGGGGGCGTGCGCAAGTGCTGGCGTAGCCGCAGTTGCGGCACACGGAGGTGGAGCCCCAATTGGTTACCAATGGCTGGCGCACCTGGCGCGGCTGAGCACGTGAAACACTGGGCGCACGTGGGGCACGTTCCGCACCTGGCGCGCCTGGCACGCTTGGGCCTCCAGGGCCAAGGTCTGGTGCATCAGGAACCCGTGGCGTCTGCGGCGTTCTTAGGCGATGTGCTGATTTGTTGGGTGTTCCGTAGGAGAGCGGATGGGAGTGAGCAAGACGGCTTGCGGGCGGCTGGGAAGCTTGACCCTTCCCCTACCCCCCTTCCCTGGATCTGGACGGCGCGTTTCGCGAGGGGTTGGAGTTTCAGATGGCCTCGGCGAAAAGGCCTAAATCATTGGTTGTACTCAGGCGTTGGAGAAATGTTAGCGTCCTTGGTAGGGGGGACGCTAATTGAGTACCCCTCCTTCTTTGATCGCTCACCTCCAGGATGCCTCCAAGATGGCCCCCGGGGCTTCCAAGAGTGAGTGCCCCAAGAGGGCCCCAAGAAGCGCCCATGAGGTCCAAAGAAGCCCACGTTACTGGTTTGACTTCGGTGTTGGGTCCAGTCTGGACTCCAAGGGGGGGTCAAATTAAACCCCCCCTTCTTTGCCGTCTTTGATCGATCTCCTCCAAGACGGTCGCAATATATTATCGAGGCTTCGGAAGGGTCCCAAAGCGTCTCCTAAGAGACCCCCAATAAGCTCCCCCGAGGCACCTAAGACAGAGGCCCCCCGGACCGCCACGAGGCACCCAAGACGCCCCAGGGGTCCCCTACAAGAAACTGCCAAGAGACATCCGAGGAGATTTCGAGTGGCATCCAGAAGCCTCTGGCCTTTCTGCTCGCCCTCCTCCGCCTCCTCCTCCTCGTCCTCATCCGCCTATTCCTCCTCTTCCTCAGATGATTTCTCCGCCATCCTGCCCATATCGGGACAATTATGACGCCTCGCCGAGCCCTGTATTCCACTGCGTGCTCTGGTCATCGTTCCTTGATGGGGTGATGTGGTTACTTGTTTGGTCGCGGCCGCGGGCGACGGCGCACACGGCGAGTCGGGGTGGTGGGGTTACTTTTTTTTTAAAACAGCCGCAGGCGGAAGCGCCAGCGGCGGGAGGTCGCGAACGGGCCGCGGACGCCACAAAATTACCTAACGCGCGCGGGGCCGCGGATCAGGCGGCACACGACAGCGTCCAGGGCGGCGGAGCCGATGCAATCCAGGAGCCAGAGACAGCCCCAGAACGGGCATGCAGCGGTGCGTCCAACAGGCCTGAGGTAGGCACCGAGGAGACCAAGCGCAGCCAAAATGGCGCGAGAGGCGTTCCCAAAGTCCAAATGCGAACGAGAGGAACGTTCCCGAGGACGACGATCCAAGCCTGACGGGTAGCAGACCGCCTGGAGACGTAAGTCCAGCGGGGATCCCGACGGCGGCAACGAGCCGCGACGCCAGAACGGCATCCAAAGTGTGGAGCACGTTGCCAAGAAGCTTCCACACCGAGATGCTCCAGCCCAGACCCGGCGGGTGGAAGGGCGCCTTAGTGCACGCTACACGGTCGAAACGCGGCGTGTGCACATCACAGTGTCTCAGTGCAATCCAGAACGAGTCGGAGAGCACACGCGGGACGAGACCGCGTATACCCAGGCACGTCGTGGTGGAGTTACGCGAAGCGTCTAGAATGAAGAGCAACAGGCCGAGGGGACGTGGGGTTCAGGCACGAGTCGCGGACAAGACGTAAGCGGTACGAGGTGGCTGCACGCGTGGGCAATGACGTGACAAAATACGAGCGAGCAGCGTGAGCACACAAAAGGCAAGTTGTGCGCGCGATAACACCAAATGAAATGGACGGACCTAGAACTCCGACGTCTCACTGCACCGACCTTGCTGACATGCTGCAGCGGATGTTTGCGTGGATTGCTGTCAATTCACAACCGAAACGGCTAGCGAAAAAACACATGAAGTTCCCGTGGATGTATCATAGTCTTCTTGCCTCACCAAGCAAATCCGCGCGAAATTCACTTCGAAATCTGCAGCGAGATTCTCCAGGACAATCCAGGCCCATCCCATGTCTTTCCGAGCGAAATCCGCTCTGCGATGTTGGCGGCATGAGACGTCGCAATTCGTACACAACGTGGGCCCCCAAAGGTCAAGACCTCTTCCCCCGGACCGTTCTGCATCCCGAGTCGTTTCTTGACGGTCCCTGGGCCTAGGTCAGGGCCCCCAAATGCCGAGCAGTGGCAAGAACCTCCCGTCGCGTTTCTGTATCACATCGAGAGGTGGGAGGGGGGATGCATGCGCAACAAGTCAGCGTAACGCGAGAAGAGTTGGGGAGGAAGAGGAGAGCCAGGGCAGTGTCGAAGCGCTGCGTTCCTGGAGCAGCACAGCTACAGACGGAACAATAACACTGCAGACTCATGAACTCTCGAGGTCCGCGCGGATCTGTTGGATCTGCGTTGGAAGCCCCCATCCCTAGCGCGCGGGACGCGCCCCAACGCCGATCCGAGAAGTCCGCGCGGAGGTCTGTGCTTCGAAACTGGCCAGCGGGGCCTTCGACAGCGGCAGCACGAAAGTGTGGCCACCCAGCACGATCTGCAGCGGCTTCATGTTGGGATCCTCCATGATGCTGCAGTCGCAGACGACACCTCGCAGGCGAGATAGGTTTAGGCGATAGACACCTAATCCATATCACTGATCACGCCAGAACTCCACGAGGGGGCGGAGCGGAGGCATGGATAGAAATCCAGTCTCTGGTGGCCCAGGTTTTTACACATGCCCATCCCGCCCTGGGAGCCAGAGTGAGGGCAGCAGCAGGGGTATGGATCGGCCGTCGATCCCCGATGAGATAGATGCTGCGCCGACTTCGGCGGCTCTGGGATCGGCCGAGGGAAGGGGAGGGGAGGAGGAGGAGCAGGAGGAGGAGGAGGAGAACAGAGGAGGGGCAATGGGCAGAGACAAATGTTGGCCGCGGCGCTAGCGGTCGCTCACGCGTTCGAACAGCTGGCGGGCCGGGCAGAGCTATGGGAACAGTAGCAGAGGCCTCCTAGATGGGGTCGGAGTGGATGTGGTTGGAGGATCGCGCCGCATCGCCGTGCATCGGCGATGCGTCGGCGATGCGGTGGCGATGCATCGACGACGCCAGCATCGGCGACGTCGACGGGGAGCGAAACGGGCTGCACATAGAGCCGCATCGGCGAAACATCGCCGATGCGGCGCGATCCTCCGACCACATCCACTCGAACCCCGTCTGGGAGGCCCAGAACTGAGGCTGAGGATGACGAACCAACAACACACACCCATACCCATAGGGGGTCGGAGAGCGCTATGGGTGCGTGTTGTCGGATGGGGCCCCCCGCTCGACGGGGAGCGTTCCCCAGGGTCCGACAACCCGCACCTATACCCATAGCCAGTCCTCCTCCCAACGACCCCCCTACGGATATGGGTGTGTGTTGTTCGTTCGTCAGAGGAGGAGGCAGGGAGGAGGCCGCAGAGGAGGAAGCAGAGAGAGGACGCAGAGGAGAGACAGAGAGGGCGGCCGCAGAGGAGGAAGCAGGGCGGAGGCCTCAAACGCAGATAGAGAGAGAGAGAGAGACAGCGTCTTGAAGAGCGCGTCAGCGCCCCTCAAACGGGGACTCCACTAACGGGTACTTTGGCCAGTGGCCCAGCGAACCCAACCCTTCCCGATGTGGGCAAACCTGCAATGCAAGAAAAAGGCCCTAAAGTGGCAACTTTCGGCAAAAATTCAAAGTACCCGTTAGTAAGTACCCGTTACGGTGCCGTTGAGCGCGCTGGCGGCCTCAGGCACCGGAGACTGGTGGACTCCGGCGGGGGCAGGAGAGAAGGAAGAAGAGTCTAGAAGCCAGGTGCGCTCGCGCCGCATCTGGCATCCGACCCCTCCCACGCATCCCTTCTCATCGTGACGACGTCTCCTCTATTCCCACTGGGTGTCACAGCGGACGAGGCCCCCCCCAAAGGACCCAATCGCGCTCTGCGCAGTAAAAAAGGGTGAGCTGTGTGCATTGGAAGAGGGACGGGTGGCGGATGGCAAATGGGACGAATGGTTGCGACTCTGAGGCGGGGCGAATGGGAGATTTGGGGCGCCGACGCAGATCAATCACAAAGATGAAATTGACAGGAGAGACAATCAACTAAGAAGCGGACATAACTTGGGAAGGGCAGGAGAGCAAGAGGGTCGGAGGAATACGATTTCGAATATCATAGAAGCAAGCTAGGGAAAAAACTGGGAGGTGACCAAGGCACCGCGATTGTGAAAATAACGTCCTGACACCACATGTGAAGGAACTGCTGCAAAGATGGCAGACATCAAATTGTCCCCCGCCCCTTGGAAATGAAACCCGACAAGGGATCGTTCTGACGCTATGAACTCCGTAATGCCACATGTCCTGGTCAGAATCGGTGGAAGCATCTTCGGAGCTCCCCCCAATCACAATGGAAGAAGACCACGGATACCAGGCCTAAACCACGGTGGCCCGGCCCAAACCAACGCTCTTAAAAGGCGTCCTGCCGTTTGCGAGAAGGCCCGGCCCAAATCTTCGACGACACGCCTTTTTCCAAGCGTGGTCTCCCTTACGGACCAACGATGCCAGATGCAACGCGTTTTGCCTGCATCCAACACGATCAAGCACGAACGATTGAACAAACTACAATGAACCCGTATAATGAGGATGCGCGGTGAGGATACAAGGGCCTTGGATGGCCATGTCGGCATTTTTCAGTGGGGCTGGCCAGCGAAAGTCGCTAAGGATGGGCCGAAGGGGAAGGATGTAAGGGCAACCTTGAAAAACTGTTCATCCTTGCTATGCGAATCGATTGTATCGCGTCCAATAGAGGTCCCCCTTCGCAAAGGGCCCATTCGCCCGAATCCGACTCCTGACGTCGACTGGGTCTCCCAACGAGCTCGACAGACCACGGCCCACTCCGGGCACCTGCCCTCGGGTCGTTCCCGCACTGCTCGTCGAACTTCCCCGCCTGCAGCTGGCAACTCCGCGCAACGACACTCGGGCCCCCCCTGGACTGAAATTGCATTCTCGGGGGACCTTGTCTGACTCGTCGCGGCCCTAACCGCGTCGAATTCGCGTCGAGTCCACGTCGGCCTCGTTGGATCCGTGCTCCGTGTCCTGCGCGGAATCCACGCCTAATCCGCGTCGAGCCCGCATCGAGCCCGCGTCGGGCACAAGAAAAGACACCAATTTGGGGGACAGGCGAGGTCCCCCGAAGATGCAAAGTAACTAGGCCAGGACATTGCCAAGCCATGAACCTGAAAATGCCACCCCGAGAGCAGAGGAAGAATGGGGAACGGATGCTTCGACCCGCGGCTGCAATTTTCTCGGGCCCTGATTTAGCAGAACGTCTCCGTTTACGGGGCCCTGAAAATGCTCTCCCCCCCTCTTTTTTCCCAACCCTCCTGTGGTGTTGGGTCCTCGTTTTGAAAAGACGGTGCCCCGCGTTCCCTCCTTCTCCTCCTCCCGCTGCCCCCTCCCTCCTGCCATCATCATCATCATCGTCATCATCATCATCGTCATCACCAACATCACCATGATATTCGGCGTCATCATCAGCATCACCCTCCGCATGTCTCTATTTCGGCACACCAATCACACGGTCCGTGGCCCCATAGGGAGCTCCACCGAAGCCCCCAGTGGCAGGGTTCGCATGGCGGCCCCGCCTCATTTTGGCGCACCCCTCGCACGGTTCGTGGCCCCATAGGGAGCTCCACCGAAGGCCACAGTGGCAGGGTTCGCATGGCGGCCCCGCCCATTTTGGCGCACCCCTCACACGGTTCGTGGCCCCATAGGGAGCTCCACCGAAGGCCCCAGTGGCAGGGTTCGCATGGCGGCCCCGCCCCATTTTGGCGCACCCCTCACACGGTTCGTGGCCCCATAGGGAGCTCCACCGAAGGCCCCAGTGGCAGGGTTCGCATGGCGGCCCCGCCCCATTTTGGCGCACCCCTCACACGGTTCGTGGCCCCATAGGGAGCTCCACCGAAGGCCCCAGTGGCAGGGTTCGCATGGCGGCCCCGCCCCATTTTGGCGCACCCCTCACACGGTTCGTGGCCCCATAGGGAGCTCCACCGAAGGCCCAGTGGCAGGGTTCGCATGGCGGCCCCGCCCCATTTTGGCGCACCCCTCACACGGTTCGTGGCCCCATAGGGAGCTCCACCGAAGGCCCCAGTGGCAGGGTTCGCATGGCGGCCCCGCCTCATTTTGGCGCACCCCTCACACGGATCGTGGCCCCATAGGGAGCTCCACCGAAGGCCCCAGTGGCAGGGTTCGCATGGCGGCCCCGCCCCATTTTGGCGCACCCCTCACACGGTTCGTGGCCCCATAGGGAGCTCCACCGAAGGCCCCAGTGGCAGGGTTCGCATGGCGGCCCCGCATTTTGGCGCACCCCTCACACGGTTCGTGCCCCATAGGGAGCTCCACCGAAGGCCCCAGTGGCAGGGTTCGCATGGCGGCCCCGCCCATTTTGGCGCACCCCTCACACGGTTCGTGGCCCCATAGGGAGCTCCACCGAAGGCCCCAGTGGCAGGGTTCGCATGGCGGCCCCGCCCATTTTGGCGCACCCCTCACACGGTTCGTGGCCCCATAGGGAGCTCCACCGAAGGCCCCAGTGGCAGGGTTCGCATGGCGGCCCCGCCTCATTTTGGCGCACCCCTCACACGGTTCGTGGCCCCATAGGGAGCTCCACCGAAGGCCCCAGTGGCAGGGTTCGCATGGCGGCCCCGCCTCATTTTGGCGCACCCCTCACACGGTTCGTGGCCCCACAGGGAGCTCCACCGAAGGCCCCAGTGGCAGGGTTCGCGCGGCGGCCCCGCCCCATATTGGCGCACCCCTCACACGGTTCGTGGCCCCGCAGGGACATAGAAAGCTCCACCGAAGGCCTCAGTGGCAGGGGTCGCATGGCGGCCCCGCCCCAGTGTGGCGCGCCCCTCACACGGTTCGTGGCCACATTGGGAATTCTTTTTGCTTCGTCCCACCTGCCCTGCGGTATTCACGTTTGCGTAAGGTTGGGTCCTTCGCCAGGATAATTTGCGCCGTCTAGGCGCGGCCTTTTCCAGTCCAGTCCCGTCTCAGAGGGTCTCGCGTGCTTCCCCGATTGCGGAAAAACGCCTGGCGGGGAGCTGACCAGGTCTTCATGCGGAAGGAGGAGCGGCTCACTTTGGAGGCCCGCCCTCGGTCGCAGGGCCAGTCATGAACACGTGCATTGTGAAGGAGGCGGGGTTAGGATCCGCATCTCTCGCTGTTCACCCACCCACACCCAGCACTGGCACTCGTTGTTCGCGCACATGAAACGACCAATGTATGCCATGCGCTTCTCGCCCCACGGCGCCTCCTCGCATTCTTCGGCGCACCCTCGCCCTGGACACACCTCGCGCCTGGCGAGCAGCGACGTCGGCGGGGCGTGAGCAGCCGTCTGAGCAGCCGCCGCCCTCTCGGGCCCAGCCTCGGGCCTCTTCACCTGCACCAGCGCGGCGTGCTCGCTCTCGCCCGTGGCCTCGCACGCCTCGCGCCCCAGGGGCTCGCCGGCGGCCGCCCCCCGACCCAGGAGGATGAGCAGCGGAACCACGGCGACGAGCATTGTGAAGGGTACTCCAGAGTTCGTAATAAAGGGAGGGGGGTCTCATTTCGGGGGGGGGTCTCTTCCAGGCTATCTTGGAGGGCCTGGGGGGTCTGGGGACGATGTTTTGGAGGGTTCTCCCACGGGGGAGGTCTGAAATGGCTTGTCTTGGAGGGTCCAGACCCCCTCCCTTTTATTACGAAATCTGGAGTATCGAGGCACGCGGCGCAGCAAGCAACGCGGCACGGCGCGATGGGCTTGAGCCAGAAGAGGCCCTCCGTGAGATGAAGCAGAACATTCAGAAACGCATGAAGGAGCCCTGGGACACACAAATTAAAAATTTATAATTATAAATAACAGGAGTCCCCATAGTTTCCTATATTTTCTGGGATTTTGTCTTCCCCCCCCCCCGCTTCCCATATTTTCCCATATGTCCTGGGGGATCGACCATTACTTGTGTCTGTGTGTTTTTCTCCCTCCCGAACGTAAGCTTTCCGAACTCCGCGCGGACCGCGCGGACTCCTCGGATCGGCGCTGCCCCCCGCCCCCCTCCCTGGCGCACGGAGCGCGCCCAGGGGCGCCGCCGAGGCGCCGCAAGGGGGGGCGCCCGGCGCACTTCGGGAGGTTTATGTCTATGCAACTTCCACTTCTTCGGTGAGGATGCTCACTGCCTTCTCCTGCGGCAGCTCCTAGGAGGCTCCCATGCCATCTTGTGGATTCTTGCGTGCCGACGCTAATCGACGCTAGCCGACGCTCATCGATGCTGAACCGGCGCTGTCTCACCGGTTCCCGGACGCGAAGCGACGCCAGCGCACTCTAAAGACGGAATTCCGAAGGTACACACGGCTCTCATGATTTGCTGCCGAAGCCTCCCTCCTCCACGGGAAAAGGCTCTCCCCTTAGCCCACTCTCTCGCCATCGCTTGGACGTCCATTCCCTGTGCTTTTCTCGGTTTCGTGGGTGGCTTTTTCGCCAAATGATCAAGGATGCTCCTCGACTGCCCTCGCCGAAGGAAAAATGCACACGTCCGAGCGATGACAAGCCCTCGTCACGCCAAGGAAAGGGGGGGGGCTGGAGCGGCGCGGAAGCCCTCGCTGCACGGGCTGGCCTGACCGCCCTGCCCCATCGGAGAGAGGGCGGGGCATCCGCGCAATTCGGGGATGGACAGACCCCCCTTTAGTAAAACGTGGTTTAGTGAAAACGACCTGAGGCCCAAACCTGGCGGGCGCAAGCCTGGAAAATAACGGCCACGGCGCCCTCTCGAGAACCGAAAACGGACAATTCACTAATCGACGTGTCACTGTTGGGGGTTCTGTCCACCCCCGAGCAACGGGTGCTTCCCCACCTTGGTTCCCTTTCAGATCACACAGCGCGACCAGTGGCCCCGAGAGCGCCGCTCCGCTCTTAGCACGGCGGACGCAAACAACAGCTTACGGTTGGCATCGTAATGATAGCCTGAGGTCGGACATGTCCCCCTACAGGGGGGTTTGGAAGAAAAATTCAAAATAGTTCAAACATAGCTCAAACATGGTTCAAAAATGCTAAGAACATCGTCCCCAGACAATTTGTTTACTATTTTTGAATATTTCCCCCTGTAGAGGGACAGGCCCGACTTGAAGACTGCGTGCAACATCGATCTCCGAAAGGCACGGTATCCCTGGGGTGAGGCGATCACGCCAGAAGAGGGCCCCTTCTGCGCACGCTGCCCCCCTGCGAGGGTCCCGTCGGTGCACGCTACTTATCCCACCTGCGAGGGCTCCCTCGGTGAACGTTACTCACTCAAAATCCCTTATTAATCGTCCCCCGGGTCTGGCTTTTTGAAGCGCCGATTTTTGTAACTGGGGGGGTCCGGTTTATCAGGTTCGCTGTCTTTGGATTGGAGCTTATGTGGTCCAGTTCATGAAGGCCCTCCGTCGAAGAGGGGGGTCCAGAATATGAGGTCGCATTTGGAGGGGGGTCCGGTTTTTCAGGGGGGTCGACTAATAAGGGATTTGGAGTATCCCCGAGGTGGGGGACAGCGCGTAAGGAGCGGGCCGGCTGCGCCCCATCGCACGTTACCTTTGCAACGCCGACCCTACTTCATTGCCCCTGTCTTGCAGACGTGCTGCAGCGGATTTCTGCGTGGATTTCTGCGTGGATGTTTGCCCGACGCGGCGAGCGAAAAACGACGTGAATCTTGCGTGGATTTGTTTTAGTCTTCATTCCTGGCTAGAAAAATCCGCACGGAATTCACCTCGAAATCTGGAACGAAATTCTCCAGGACACTCCGGGCCCATCCTATTGTTTTCCGAGCGAAATCCGCTCTGCCATGCTGGCGCCATGACGTGTTCAATGAGGAGGCGCAGGCGAACCACGATCGCAAAGACACGGGACGAGCAGGATGCGAGTGCGCCGAAGGGTGCGGGGGCCAAGGAAGAGGGTGCTAGCGTTAGGTCGGGCATGTTTCCCTACACGGGGATTTTGAACGAAAAATCAAGACAAAACAAAACATACCCCCCAAATGGTCAAAAATACGCAAACAATCGTCCCCAGTTTTTCCTTATATAGATATGTATGTGTATATATATATATATACGTGTGCTTGAACAGTCCTCCTGTGAAGGACAGGCCGGTCTTCAGGCTGGTGCCTGCTTCATGGCCCGAGAGGGACGTGCGCAGACGAGAGGGAGGGGGAACGGCCAGGGAAAGCGCACTGGAGAGAAGAAGAGAAGAGGGCAAGGAACTTTGGGAGAGCTCCATGCCCCAGAAATGCTCCTCCTCCTCCTCCTCCTCCTTCTCCTCCTCCTCCTCTTCTCCGCCTCGTCCTCCTCCTCCTCCACCTCCTCCTCCTCCTCATCTCCGCCTCCTGCTCCTTACCTCCTCCTCCTCCTCCTCCGCCTTCTCCTCCTCCTCCTCTTCCTCCTCCTCCTCCTCCTCCTCCTCCTCCTCCTCCTCCTCCTCCCCCTCCTGGTCGTCGTCGATGTCTTTCAGGGTCGGCGGCACCGGCCGTCAGGCCTTCACAATTTGGGAGAGTTCAGTGCCCCAGAAATGCTATCCGCACACCCCGTGATGACGTTTTGCTCCTGGACTCAACGGTGGCGTACGTTTCGCAGCGTGTGCTGCTTCCACGGACCCACCGTAGGGGCCTCCGAAGCAAATTGCTCTGGAGCTGGGGACACTCTGCTACGATCCCGCACATCTCGCCTGCGCTGGACTGTGTATGCAACTACCTCGACATAATCTAAAAGCAGAACGGCCTTCGCATGCGGAACGATTCCGTCCTCACCCCTCTCTTGGGCGCCCCCGATGGAAAGACCAGGAAGACTTCGGGGCCCGTCAGCCGTGTGGTTACGGACCGCGTGGTGACTTCGGAATCCACAACGACCTCACCGCGCGGTCCGTCGCCGCGACCGCGGGGTGACCCTGCGGTCGGGGTGACAGCAAGCCCCCACTGACCGCGGGGTGACCCCGAATCCCCACTGACCACACACCACGCGGTGTGGTCATAACACCGCTTAGGAGGCCCCCCGAAAGACGCAACCGTTTCGAGCGAGGCTGCTACCAAATGGAGCAGGCCAAGACGGAGACCGAGCACTCCACATGGACCCACTCCGCATGGACTTTCGCAGCATCCTCCGATTCTTGGACCCCCAGCGCCGGGATCAGCGAGCGGATGAAGTCGTCGTAGTGGTGCTGCGGCACGAGCAGCACCTTCCGGGAGCCGCCGCCCGCTGCTCCCGCTCCTCCTCCTGCCCCCCTTGCCGTCGCTCGGACGTCCACTTCCCGTGCATCTGTCGGTTTCGTGCCTGTTTTTTTTTGCCCGATGGTCCAGGATGGTCCTCACTGGTTCTCGCCGAGAAAAAATGCACATGTCCGAGCGATGCCATGCCTGGCGGCGCCTCGGGCGCCGCCCCGTGGCGCACTTCGCGCGCCAAGAAGGGCGGGGACCTGGCGCCGACTCACGGACTCCGCGCGGAGCTCCGAAGGTTTATTTATGTCTGAGCCTTTCATGACTGAAGGGGCCCTGGTACACAGAAATAAATACATACAAATAAAGGATTCCCCATATTTTCTCATATTTTCTGGGCTTTCGTCTTCCCCCCACTTCACATAGTTTCCCATATTTTCCTGGGAGTCGACGATTAATCGTGTCTGTGTGTTTTTCCCCCTCCTGAGTTTAGCCATGTCTATGCCTTCGTTTTTGTTGGCTGTCCTCCTGGGCCTTTCGTGACAACGCCCGCCTCGATGAGGGCGGAGCAGAACGAGGACACCATGCCAGAGCGAGCTGGGCCCGGCGCCGACCACGGAGGAGCGAGAGGAGGACGGAGGGCAACAGGAGGACGCTGAGGAAGTAACGCTGTCCATGCTCTGGTTTGGGGTTCGGCGGCGTCCACGTGTGCGATCGCGCTGCGGGCCAGAAGGCGCCTGGGCACGGCAATGCCATCGTAGAGCGACGCCGGAGCGGGAAGAATGCTCTGTGTCCGCGTCGACCGGCCACGCACACGCTTTCGCGTCGGCGGCTGGAAAGAGGTCACTGCTCCGGCGATCGGGCATCAGTGGGGCGCGCTGGATGCAAATTGGGCCGCGGGTCGTGGTACACGTGAGAAGAGGAGGAGACCCCGGCGCGACGGGAAGCCACGCACACACATACACACCATACTGACCATCCGAGCGACAGACAACAAAAAAAATTGACGCGAGAAAGCATCGCGAACTTTCGCCGCAACTTACGCGGGCCGCCGGCGCGGCGCGCCGCAATTGGAAACGAGGCCGCTCATGCACGAGCCCTTGCGCGGGCAACTTGCGCGCCAATGCCCGTGCAGAGGACCCCGCTCGGGCTTCGTTGAACCGTCAGATGAGGAACACAGACAGGGAACAGACAGTGGTGGCATTGGATAAGGAGACCTTCGATAAGGAATCCAGGGTCTGGAAGCCAGTGGAAAGCCAATCGTGGATTGGCCATGGATATCACCACCGACCTCTTCAGACAAGGACCCCCCAAGGTCCGAAGCCTCCTGGTCACGCTCCTTAACCACTGCCCCCCCACCGTGCAGCCTGGCGTGCCTTGGCACGGCCTGGCAGCCCGGGCAATGCACGACACTGGCGCGACGCAGAACACGTTGCAGCCCTCGGAGAGGGACGACCGCCCTGCGCCAGCAGCAGCCACTCGCAGGACCCCCGGGCCTTCAGTGTTGTCGGCTCCCTGGGCTGTACTGGGTTCGAGGCGAATGCAGGCGTGGCGACGAGGGCCGCCCAGGAGGCCCCAAAAACAAGAAGAAAACGGTGGAGGCCAGAGGTATGGGTACCTTTCTCTCCTCTGATGTTCTCCGCGCGAGCGACGACCAGAAACGCGGCTTACGCGAGAGGGCCCCGCGACCTCACGCCGCAGCCTGCGCGGGCAGGCAGCGCGGCACGCCACATTGGAAACGACAGCCTCAGCCGCTCACGCGCGGCCTCACGCGCGAACCTTACGCGCCGATGTCGACGCTGCCGGCCCCGTTGTGCTTCGCCGCCCACCTGGAACCGATACGCTCTGGACTGCCGACCGCGAGAAGCCCAAAGAAGATGTCGAGGAAACGAGCGGTGCACGGTCTAGCGCGCAAGTCCACAGAGGCTCTGGGGAGCACGAGCGACGACGGAGATCATAGGCGCTCTGCAATGCGGGCGCTGCTGCTGTAGACCTCGGCCTGCGGGAGCCTCGCGCGGGATCACTGGAATGGCTGAGAAGCCTGATCCGTTCGTGGGGCTGTCAGGCCTACAGTCAAAAACCCATAACAAGGACGCGCGGTAAGGACGCAAGACCCTTGGAAGCCGAAGTTGGGATTCTTGGGGCGGCGGACGACGAAAACCCCAAGGACGCAAGAGCAAGGAAGAGCAAGGACGCAAGGGTACCCTGAGCAAAGTCGCGCGTCCTTATTAGAGTTTTTGACTGTAGAAGCAGCCTCCCAAAGCGCAAGAACGATAATCCCACTCCCGCCAGCGGTGGAACAAGCGTTATGTCGGGCATGTCCCCCTACAGGGGCATTTTCGACGAAAAATGTGAAATACCCCAAACATACCCCAAAAAGGTCAAACATACTCAAAAAATAGTCCCCTCAATATTTTTGGATTATGTGTTTTTTTTTCTCTATTTTGGGGTTCATTTTTCGTCGAAAATCCCCTTGTAGAGAGACAGGCCCGACTTAAAAACAAGCGTCCAGACAAGTCCACACTCCCAGAACTCCGACACCCTGAGTTTTGCCACAGCGTGGCCCCCTGGAGGTCTGGACCCCTTCCCCGCTGCTCGCCCCGAGTCTCTTTCTGACGGCCTCGGGGTCTGGCGCAGTCGTCGCGAAACTTCTCATCGAGAAGAGGTGAGGGTATGAGAAAGAGAAACAAACGCCATAGACATAAAACATCGGCGCTGCGAGCGGATTTCTCGGATCTGCGCTGGACCCCCTCCCTGGCGCGCGGAGCGCGCCGGGGGCGGCGCTGGAGGCGCCGCCGGGGGCTAGCCCAGCGCGGATCCAAGAAGTCCGCGGGGAGCGCCAAAAGCTGATGTTTCTGGCGTTTTCTCTTCTTCCAGGTAGGGGGGGCGCCTGGTTGGTGCCGGTGTCCACCAGAAACCTCGCGGGGATCGGCTCCGGGGCGTGGATCCTGAGGCCTGCGGGGGGGCCCACGAAAAACGCGCGCGCACGCCCGCAGGCCGTGCGCGCGCCTCTCGTGGGCCGGGCGCGTGCCCGACGCCCGCGCGCCCCGCGCTGCAAAGTGACATCGCACGGACAGCGGCACACGATTTGTTTGATCCGCGGGTCGAGAGCGCACCTCGTCCGGTCGAAGCTAAGCGGGCCGCGCGAAGCTTGAATTAGGCAGAGAAGAGGAGGGAGGAAGCGGCGGAGCCTCAGAGCGAGGCCGAGAGGAGGCATAGCCTCGGATACAAGCGGTGCCGAAGCCGAAGTTCTTGCAAAGGGGCACGGACAGCGGCACACGAAAACGCCCAAACACCGTGTACCTCGACCCCTGGCAGGTACATTAGCAACGAGGGCCGGGCATGTCAGCGATCGGCGGGTGCTCGGCTTCGCCTCGGCTGCCACGGTCCCTCGCCTCCGCCTCGACTGCCTGATGTGCACTGTTACAAGACGAGGAGGAGGAGCAGGAGGAGGAGGAGGAGGAGGAGGGGGAGGAGGAGGAGAAGGCGAAGGAGGAGGAGGAGGAGAAGGCGGAGGAGAAGGAGGATGAGGTGGAGGAGTAGGAGTAGGAGGAGGATGAGGTGGAGGAGTAGGAGGAGGAGGAGGAGGAGGAGGAGGAGGAGGGAGGAGGAGCTGTAGTTGTAGTTGGAGATGGAGTTGGAATTGGAGGAGCTGGAGGAGAGGGATCGCCGCCCCTTGGGCCTCCAGGAGGCCTGGGGGGGAAGACAGAAAGGGGCGGGCCTCCTCAGAAGGCTCAGAAGTCATCTGGCCTTCTGACCAAATTCTTGAGCCTTCTCCGAAAACCTAGACCGCTTCTCCAAAGGCCGGACGGCTTCTGAGAGGCCCCGCCACCTTCTGAGAAGTCCAGCCCCCTCTTGCTTCCCCCCGGGTGGCGCGGCTGATCATCAGTAGGAGAAGAAGGCCGACATAAGCACCAACGTTCGAAGTTCCGCGCGGCTGTCTTGGATCGGCGCTGGGCCCCGCCTGGCGCGCGGAGCGAGCCGTGTATCCCGGAGCTTCCCCTCTTCTCTGAGCGGCGGCGTGAGCCGATCCTGCTCCCCTAAAGGGCCCCCCACCCACACACACACACACACACACACACACACACACACACACACACACACACACACACACACACATAAATAGACACACGCATACATAAATAGACACAACTCCCAGGATTGCCTACATTTCTTCGAATTTTCTGGGTTCTCGTCTTCCCCCCACTTCCCATATTTCCTAAATTTCTCTGGGGGTCGACGATTACTTGTGTATGTGTGCTTTTTCCCCTCCTGCCCCCCAGCGTTATGCACAGGAGGAAAATTCAAAACTGGTAGAAAAAATTGCCTGGGGACGATTGTTCGACTACTTTTGACTATCTTGGAGCCTTTTGGGGGGTATGTCTCCTTTTTCGCCAAGAATCCCCCTGTAGGAGGACATGCCCGACCTAACACTAGCACCCACTTCCTTGGCCCCCCATCCTTCGGCGCACCCGACTCCTGCTCGCCCCGTGTCTGTACGATCGTGGCCCGCCTGCGCCTCCTCATTGAATACTGTCCCCCACCTCGGGGGCAGCGTTCACCAAGGAAGCCCTCGCAAGGGGATAGCGTGCACTGGCGGGGCCCTCGCAGGGGGGCAGCGTGCGCAGACAGGGGCCCTCCCGGCGGGATCGCCTCGGATGCCGTGCCTTTCGGAGATCGATGTTGCACGCTGTCTTTAAGTCGGGCCTGTCCCTCCACAGGGGGAACAATCAAAATAGTCACTGAATAGCCAGGGGCGATTTTTCTGGCAGTTTCGAACCATGTTTGAGCTATGTTTGAAGTATTTTTGTTTTTCTTCCAAAATCCCCCTGTAGGGGGACATGCCCGACCGATAGGCTATCATTACGATGCCAACCGTAAGCTGTTTTGCGTGTCCGTCGTACTAAGAGCGGAGCGGCGCTCTTGGGGCTACTGTTCGCGCTGTGCGACCTGGAAGGGGACCAAGGTGGGGAAGCACCCGTTGCGCGGATGCCCCACCCTCTTTCCGATGGGGCAAGGTGGTCAGGCCAGCCCGTGCAGTGAGTGCTTCCGCGCTGCTCCAGTCCCCCCCTTTCCTTGGCGTGACGAGAGTGGGCTAAAGGAAAGCCTGTTCCCAGGGAGGAGGGAGGCTTCGGTAGCAAAACCTTCGGAATTTCGTCTTGAGAGTGCACTGGCGTCGCTCCGCATCTGGGAACCGATGAGACAGCGCCGATTCAGCATCGATGAACGTCGGCTAGCGGCGATTGGCGTTGGCAGGCGTGGGAAGCACCTTTGATTTTGTCCGATGTGGCGCCGCCGGCCCCCTGTACGGCAGGTTCGTGTCGTGCCGACCCCAGCGTTGGTTTTTGACACCGCAGGGATCGTACAACCGTGAACGATCGGCCGCTGCCGCAACGTCCGATCGTTCAACATCGATCGATTCTGGGTCGCCGGCGGCGTTCAACCTTGAACGCCCACGCTGGGGTCGCCGCGAGTCGACACGACGCAAACCTACCGTAAGGGGGGAAAGGCC